ACACACGGCCTCCGAGAGTGGCGTGTTTCTCCTGCACTGGTGGGGCACTGGGCGAGATGCCGGCTCAGCAGCCAGGCCGTCCCTGTGGGAGCCAGGTCCAGCACCAGCGGCAGGGCTGCCACATGGGGTGAACTGCACCCCTGTGAAGGACAGTGGGCGTGGGCTCCTGGAGGACACCTGCGGCCTGGGAGCCCCAGGGGCTGCCTGCGAGGGGCGAAACCACAGCTGGGCAGCCCAGCCGGTGAGGGATGCGGGCCACGGACAGGGCTGCCAGGTGCACTGGTGGTCCACCAGGGCTGGCCCTGGGGCAGGAGGAGCCATGCGCACAGCCTCACCAGTCGGGGCTCTGGGGTCAGGAGCAGCCCAGCTCACAGGTGTGGGGTCTACACCTCATCTGGCAGGGAAACAGCACCCCGGGGCTCAGGGCAGCAGACAGGGGGCCACACACCCAGGCACCTGCTGTGGGAACAGCACATGTGCACCCCCATCCTAAGCGGAACGAGGCGGCGCTGCAAGCTGCCTTCGCTTCCCCTCTGGAGGCTCTCGGGCTCCAGCTGATGGCCCAGCCTGCCTCCTACCCGGCTGGCCCTGTGAAGAGAGCTTGCTAACACCCACGGGCAACACGTGTGACCTCTTACCCCACCCTACAAACACAGCAGTGCACCCTCAGCTCCAGGCTGAGCCCTCAGCCCCAGGGCACAGAATACTGGCCCGACCAGCCCCCAGCACAGCTGACATCATCACTCAGCAGATGCTCAATACCTGCAACAGACGGGGTCCAGGACCAGAGGCAGCTCTCACGCGGAGATGAAACCCCCCCCACACACCCAGACCCTGCATGGGGGGCCTAGTGTGCAGGCTTGAGGCCTATAGGAAAGGGCACAGGGGCATGGGCACTCATGCTGCGCAAGGCCAAACTGAAGGAAATGGGGGGTGGCATAAGCCTGGAGGTGTGTGCCAAAGTCCTGTCGTGGCGGGGTACAGCCGGCAGCAAGCTTGGGCACCCCCAGCTGAGGCCCATCCCTGCTCCCTTCAGGGCCAGGCTGGTGGGTACAGCCTGGGCACTACTCACTGGCTCTCCTAGGCTTCCTCACTCCTCCAGCTCATCATGAACCTCATCTCCCTGGGGTTCTTGGGACCCCCCAGTGGGGGACCAGAGCTCTGGCCCTGTGGCCCCCTTAATTCCAACCCCGGCCCAGATGTGAAATCCTAGTCACACCACAGTGCAGCCAGCGCCTGGGGGGCCTTGGGCGACTCCTGTCAAACTGAGGCAGGGGAACCCGCACATGTGCATTTCCTGTGAGGACCTGGGCCCAGACCCGACTCCCAGAGCCACACTCCTGGGAAGGGCGCTGCACACCCACAAGAGGCCAGGCCACGGCCCAGGGAGTGGGCAGCACTGCTGTGCGAGGCAGCGGCCATGACCCAGAGGGCAGCTCTGCCCAGGGACAAGAGGCTAGCAGGAAGCAGGCGAGGGCTTCCACGAGGACCAGGCGGGTACTGCAGCTCTGCCCTCTGTGAGGCCCACTCGCCAGGGGCCACCACGGCATCACCAGGGCTGCTGGCCCGAAGAAGGGCCGATGATCCAGTGCTGCTGGCAGGGAGGCGACCATCCTTCCAGGGGTCACTGTGGGCCAGGCCCTCTGCCCCAGGCCCCGGCCTTGCCTCCAGGGCGCCTGTCCACTCTTTCCCTGGGGCAGGGATGCCAGCTCCCCCAGCACTGGGCACTGGGAAAGGTGGGTGGGGGCAGCAGTGGCTGGCTCCCTGAGAAGGGAGACACTTTGGTCTGGGCAGGCAGCCTGTAGCTCCACCGAGATCCCGCCTGCCGGGCAGGGCAGACTTGCTCTGACTCCAGGACCAGCCTGGCTGGGGCGCAAAGAACCCGAAACCCCAGACTTCAGTGATTCTCACACTCCTGCATGTCCATCAAACAGCTGCAGGGAGTGGTGGGCCTGGGGCTAAGGGGACACCAAAACCCCTGGTGTGAAACTAGAAAAACTCAGAACACACAAGCACCCCAGGCACACGGGACACCCCGCAAGAGCCGAGGCTGGCCTGGAAAATCCTAAAGTAAGGAAGCTCTGTGACTTAATCACCGCCTGAAAGTGCTCTGGCATCACTTATAAAGCAATCTGCGGGAACACTCACGTGTGTGTGTATACACGCGCGCGCACACACGTTCCTACAACAAGTCCCGACTTCAGTGCAGAGAGCCAGAAACAACGAGCAGTTCGTCAACCCCCATGCTGCTGTAGCACCAGTGAGATCCCAGGACAGCCTTGGCGAGCTGGAAAAGGCCGCTCACGCCCCAGAGGGGGTTCCCGAGAGGGTGGGCACGTCGTGTCCACACTGAGCCAGACTCTGCCCGGGACACAGGCCGCAGCCCGGGTTCCCACATCTGTGACATGGGCCCCCGAGTCTGCCTGCCAGGGCTGCTGCTGAGTGACCAGAGGCAAGGACGCTGGGAGTGGACCCAGGGTCTCCCCACAGGGTCACCTGCAACACTGACAGACAGCTCGGGCGTCCAGGGAGGGACCAGGCACCGCGCAGTCCTGGCCCTCTCCTCCCTGAAGTCCTCCACTGCGGCACAGTCCCAGGGCTCGGGGCTCACAGCCCCTCCGGAAGCCCAGCTCTGGTCCCCCACGCCGCTGCAGCGCACCAGGGAGCAGGCGAGGCTGCGTAAGGAGCTGCCCCTCACGCGGTGCACGCTGGGAACCTCCGCTGCCCGGCGGGCAGTGAGCACAGGTCAGAGGCTGTGCCAGGCGTGTGCACCCAGGGACCTGGTGGCCAGGAGACCCAAGGGACTCTCAGCTCCAGAATGCCACACCCACCCCGGGGAGGCTTCGGAGAGCTGCACTGCTGCTTTCTCACTCAGACCTGCGAGGGAGGGGTGGAATCTGCCCGGCCACCCTCCTCTCTTCAGGCGAGGCTGGGCTTGGAGGGGTACCCTGCTTGAGGAACCCAGCACAGCGGCCTGGGACAGAGGCTCTGCGCTTTCAGGAAGTGAACTGTAGTGTGGGCAGGGCACGGGGGTGGGGGCAGGAACCCAGAAACAGGAAAAACCCATCCGAGCCGTGCGGGAAGCACCCTAGAACCCTGAGTGACAGAAAACCACTTCAGGACTCCAAAATAACAGTGTAGCACATGACTGCCAAGAACTTTAGCTGGAAGCTCTGGAGCCCAGGGTCCCACCCCGCTCCACCTGGGGCAGAGACCGAGGGTCTGCAGCCCCAGCGGCTTCCATCCCTGCTCAGCTCCACTGTGTCCTTCTGAGCAGAGACGCTTAAGCTCCCACTCGATCTGTGGTAAACGACAGATGGCTGCCAGAGGCCAGGGTGGCCCAGCTGGCACCAATCCAAAGCCACACAGCAGCCCCTCCCGGGCAGGACACACAGCTTGAACCAGCGCTGCCAGCTTATCTCCCTTGGAATTCGGGCAGGTGAGTTCCGCTGCCCTGGAGCTTCAGTCTTAACAGATCTGAGATCCTGCAGAAGTGCCAGGGTTCTGCAGGCTGTGCTGGGGAAAGCACGCTTCTGCCAGGACTCTGAGGGCACCCATTGGGCACCTATACCCTGGCCACTCACACCAGACACCCGAGCAGGAAACTTCGTCTGAGATGCACCTGTGACTCTGACAGGGCCCCCCCAAAGCACCTGTCCTAGGGTGTGGACAGTTTCCCTCCCTTCCTGGGAGAACAGGGCATCCTGCCCACCTGCTCTTGCTCCAAATGTTCCCCAGGTGTCACCTCCTACACCAGAAACAAGGTCTCGGCCTCTCAGGGACCTCCGGAAGAACACCCTTGGAGACACTTGTCCCCAAACCTGTGACCTGAGCACACCCACGACCACGGCGTACCCATGACCAGAGTGTGTCATGATTCGTGCCCAGGGCAGCTGGGAGGAGCTCGTGTCCGAGGTGTGTGATAAGGGCAGGTGGGCACGTTAGGGTGGGCAGGTGAAGGGCCATAACAGAGCAGGTGAGAGGGCCGGGGCAGGCCAGAGAACACCTGGGAGGCCACGGCGGTCAGGGCTGGGCTCCTGAGAGGCCAGCAGAGCGGAGCTCGAGGGCTGCCGTGCCTAACCCTGTCCCAGGGAAAGCACTCGGTGGGGCTAGGGAAGGAAGGGGAGGGACAAAATGAGTGGCACAGAGGTGACTGTGTCACACTGACCCTCCTCCCAGGCACAGCAGGCAGCTGGGACCCTGAGTCAGCAGGGAATTGGCCTGGAGGGAGGAAGGCTCAGGGCTGAGCCCAGGGGCAGCTCTGCGGGCTGCTAGGGCAGATGTCCTCTGGCAAGGGACACCGCCTAGGGCCTCTGTGGGGGTGACACTGGCCCCCTGCCTTCCCACAAGTCAGAGCCACCCAAGGCCTCTGAGCAAAAGCAGGCGTCCTGGGAAAAGGACGACTCAGCCCTACTCCAACAACTTTCCCCTTCAGTGTGCTCAGATAAGGGGCTTTCCTGGGCTGGAAGCACACCCAGTGCATCCACTCCACAGCTCCCAGGCACTACTCTGGGATCCCACAAACCCCACACACCAAAGCAGGGTGCAGAGTCGGGCGTCAACGTGGACAGCCAGCACTGCAGGGGCATGAGCGGCCAGGGACCCGGGGACAAAGGGGCAGGCGTCCCTCCCTCCCTCCCCGACCGCGTGCCCAGCACCACCCTGGAAGCCCCACAGACGAGCCTCGGGTTGCACAAAGTTGATTCTGCTCACAGAGCCCCAAGGGACAGTCCTCGGAGCCTGAGCCTGCGGTGCACACGCAGGGGAAGCACTGTGCGAGCCCGGGGCTGGAAACCCCCGAGCCAAGACCCCAGGCCCACGCCCCAGGCTTGGGAGGCAGAGCCGGCCTCGGGCCACGCCGGGAGGAGCGGCGCCAGGCCGGGGCCAGGACCTGGGAAGGGAGTGCGGGCCGCAGGCACCAGCGCTTGGCGGCCGCTGGGAGCCCCGACGAGGCCGAGCTCGCTGGGGCCAGGAGCCGTCCGCCCAACCCGCGCACACACCTGGACCTTCTGCAGGGCGCCGAGGCGAAGCTCGTGCACGAAGGGATTCCGCCCGGGGGGTGCCAGCCGCCGCGTGTCGCCCGCCCCTGCGCTGCAGGCGGAGAAGGTGCGCGGGCCGCGACCCCGCAGCCTCATGGCGCCGCCGCGGAGGACTCGGGCGGGCGGACGAGAGCGGAGCGGCCGGCGCGGGAGCAGCTGGCGGCGGGATGCGCGGCCGCCGGGATGCGCGGCGCAGGGGATGCGCAGGCGCGAGCGGGCGGTGGTGACGTGAGCGGGGCGTGGCCCTCCTGGGCGGGGCGTCCAGAAGCCCCGCCTCCTGAATCCGCGCTTGCGCTGTCAGGGCCAGCGGGATGCCCCAGCCCCTGCCCCTGCCCCTGCCCCTGCCCCTGCCCCTGCCCCTGCCCCGATCCGGTTCCCGCGGCGGCTGGGGGATCCGCGAGTGCGCGAGGCCTAGACAACGAAGGCCAAAGCAGGATAGCTCTCTGGCTCTTTAGGAATCCGAGGAAACAGGAGGGAGGGGCGAGCAGGCCGGGCCCAGGGTCCCCGCCTGCTCGGGGTACCCGCCCTGGCTGTCCGGGCCCTTCCCTGACCAGGCCCTGGTGGCCCAGACGGGGCACGCTGGCCCTGGCCAAGGCCAGAGGGTGTCCAAGCCGGGGGCTCCTACAGCCTCAGAAGTGGGTCTTGGAGGACTGAGAAGTGGGTGCAGATGTGTTAGTCGGGGGCCCCCAGTTAAACTGCCAGGCGGTGTGGAAGGTCGACTTTGTGCTGGAGATGGGGCAGAGGTGCCCAGCTGGGGCCATCCCAGGGTGTCCCCGAGAGACGTCGCAGTCCCCACCCCATGGACATGAGCTCATTTGGGAATGGGGCCTCCTTGGGAGACACACAGCAGGAAAGCCCGGGCAGGCTGAAGGCCCCTCCCTTCTACCTGGGACGTGCGCTTCAGGGCCAGGAGAGGACACAGCTGTGTTTATCCCCGCTGTGTTGTGTGTCGCTCAGCCTTGGGAGATGCAGGCAGTGTGAGTCGGGTGGTGGGGCTGGGAGAGCGCCCACCCTGGCCGGCATCCACGAGCACCCTGGGTCCCGGGGCCCCGAGCAGGAGCTACAGGCAGGCGGTGTGTCTGTCAGGTGTGGTGACACTCGGGGACAGGGGAAGCACTGTCTCGGGGAAGACACTTGGCATGTTCTCAGTGCCCAGAAATGGGCGCAGCACCCGGGCCACCTGGAAAGGCCTAGTGCACTTGTGTGGCTGAAACAAACCTGGCCTGGCGATCTGCCGGGCACTCTGCTGTGCGGGGCCTCTGCTCCCTTTGGCGGCAGCACTGGTTTAGGCCTCAAGGGCCGTCCCGAGGCGGGGAGGGGCTCATGGCTCAGGGTGAGGCCTTGGTTATTGAATGCTATACTCTGTCTTCTAAGTGCAGCCTTGTCCGCACCCACGAGTTGAATTTACTTTCTATTTTCCTGTTTTCTTCTTTGACCCACGTATCAAGATCTGTGTTAATGTCCAAATGTTTAGAAAGATTCTAGGTCCATTTCTGTTATGAATTTAATGTCATTCTTTTGTGGTCACATCATGTCTGTATGAGTTCAACCCTTCTGTGATCTGTAATTACGAACATTCATGTGCATGTGATAAAAATATTGCTCTACTTGGGGTGTTCTGTAGATGGCAGCTGGGTCCATTTGGTTGACTGTTTTATTTGTACATGCCTTCTATCTTTATTGCTCTTTTTTTTAACATGTTCTATTAATCACTGAGACTGTAACCTCAGAACTCTGAGCAGCTGAGGCAGGAGGATCACAATTTCAAGCCTAGCTTGAGCAGCTTAGCAAGACCCTGTCTCAAAATAAAAAATAATAAAAAGGGGCTGGAGATATAGTTTAGTGTGAGGGCCTCCAATACCACAAAAACAAGACAACAACAAAAACCAAGACTGATTATTTGTAGGTTTGACTGTTGTACTCTCAACCCTGTTAGCTTTGAAGCTGTGCTGTTGTATGTATACGGCTTATGGACACGTGTAGAGTTGTTAGGTCTTCTCCACAAGCCACCCTCTGCTCTCTTTACCTGGTGGCTCCCCCATACCAGTGTCCAGTGTCCAGTGTTGTGTGGCCACTCCACCTTTTTATGTTCAGTGTTGGCCCTACACATTCTTTCTACCCCTTTCTTTTTGTCTTTCTGGGCTTTTCTGGCCCCTGGAGAGGGGTCCATGTGGACAGCACTGAGCTGTACCTGGCTTTATTCACCCACCCTCAAGAACTGTCTTTTAGTTGGGGTACAGAGATAATGGTGATGTTTGAGGTGTCAGTGTGATTGGGGTTGAAATACATCCTGCTATTCATTTTCTGGTTGTGTTCTTTGGCTTTTTAAAAATGTTTCTTCTTGTATTTGATGTTTTTGGGCTGATTCAGTGACTCGTCTTATTGACACCTTTGGCTTGTCGGTTATGCTCTTTATTTTAATTTTTTACTCTGCTATGGTGCCTGCAGCATGTGTTACATGGTGGCCTCCCAGCTGGATTGTGCCACCTCAGGCGTGGCGGAAGGTCCTCACAACCCTGGGCTTCCTGTACCCGCTTCCTCAGTGCTAATACTCCAAGTCTACTTGGGCTGCAGACTCCAAGGTACAGAGCTACTGTGTTTGTTTGGAAGAGTCGATTGTTTCTTCAAGGGATTGAAAAGATTTATTTTAAAAAGCCTCTGTATTTATTTGTATATTTACCCCTTAAAGTACACCCATTGCTCCATTTAGGTCTGAGTTTCTTGTATTATTTTCCTTTTTCCCAAACACATCCCACTGATATGTTTGAAATGTACAGCTGATGCAACTAATCTTCCAGGTTTTGGTTGCCTATGAATGTTTCCCTTGTACCTTCATTTTGTAGGATATTTTGCTAATGAATACAGTATTCTAGCACATGTGTTTATTGTGTTTGCTTCGGCGAGCAGTTTTCCCCAACCTGCCAGCGCTTGGTGTGGTTAGACTTTCTAACCTTAGGCATTCTGACGTGTGTGGCGGCGTCCCACTGACGGGATTTGCACTCAGGATTGTGGTATCCAGTGTTTTCATGTGATTGGCTACCACCATAGATCTTCAGTGCTCTGGTCAAATAATACTCTTATGCAAATATTTTTGTTTTTCATTTGTGGATCTGCAGAGTTTTTATGTTTTGCATATAATTCCTGTGTAATATATGCATCTATTTTTTCCACCCTCTTTTAATGGAACTTTTAATTTTCTTTCTCTATTTCCTTTTTTCTTTGCTTCTTCCTTTCCTTCCTTCCTCTCCTTCTTCCCTTCGTGGAAAAATACTGATTCGGAAAATCTTAAGAGTCAGTTTGTCAATTTCCACAGGAAAATCCAACAGTTTTCATTGGGATTATTTTGACTGAATACAGAAGTTTGGAGAGAAGTAACATTTTAACCTGTGATCTTTTCATCATGCATGGGGCTCAGCCCTCAGTTCACCAAAGTTTTCCTTAATGTTCCACAGCATTTTACAGCTGTCCTTGTACAAATTCTGCACTTTTGTCAGCTATATTGCTAGATAATATTTTGGGCTGGTGCTTATGATTTGTTCAACTCATGCTTGTGTATTGCGAGCATATAGGCCGCTGGGGTGGAGGAAGTGAAAAAGCAAAGGCCCTGGCCATGTGTTATTTGTCTTTGCAGCTTGGAATAGATCTGGGAAACCCCTTCAAATCCTCCACACGCTCGTTTGCAGCCTACCTGGCGCCATCATCACCACCCATTCTCTGCAGGCCCTGGCCTGGCCCTTCCCGGACCCTGCCCCTCTGCAGGCACCAGTGCCCTGCTGCCTGTGACCCCCTTCCATCCTGCCTGCTACTTCCCCGCCCTCCCTGCCCCATCAGCAGGCCCCTCTGCGGTCATCACTTAGAAGGGCATGTGCCTGCTCTGTGATTCCCGGGGTCGCCACTGTCTGTGAGGAGGGAGAAGGTGAGAAGCCTTTGGAGAGTAGCAGTAAGGGATTTGGCTCCCGCCCTTTCACAAAGACCTAACCCGGGCGGGCCGGGGATTTAGCTCAGTGGTTCCAGTGCCTGCCTTGAAAGTGCAAGGTGCTGAGTTTGATCCCCGGTACCAAAACAAACAAAAACAAAAAACAATGACCTAACTAGCCCTCTGGCCCCGAAGCTCTGCTGGTGGCATCTCAGTGGGTTTGGCCCCACTAGAGACCACCACCTCCTCATCACCCAGAGCTTCAGGGGAGGGAAAAGGACCTCACTGGGGGCACTGGGCGGGAGCCAGGGTACCCTCAGGGGTGGCAGAGGCTGGTCCTGCAGCACCCACCAAGCCAGGGGGCTTCACGTGCTTGTCAGGCCTGCAGCCTGCACCACAGTGCAGCACCGCTCACAGTGTGGGGTGGGGTGTACGGCACAGGCTGCATCCTCTCCTCCTCTATTCTGCCTCGCACACCCAGCTGCATGCAACCTGTCTACAGTGCACGGACACCCACGTGGTGGCCTGGGATGCATGCCCTGTGAAGCTGGCCTCATAGCGAAGCGATGTGCCCACACGAGAGGCCTGTCTGGAGGATTTGTCTAAGAGCCCACGCCACTGTCAGCAAGGGGGCTCTGTGGGGCCGAGTGCCCTGAGCATGGGCTGGCACTGATCACGCATCTGTGTGGGAGGAGGACACCTGTGAGGCTGGAAGGGCCACTCCTGTGTCCCTCACCAGTGCTCCAGGAGACAGCGGTGGCCGGAGTGGGCCTGGTCCTGCCTTCGTGCTGCAAGGTGTTTACTGACTCTCCTGTGTGATGCCAGCCTCTGATGGAGCAGACGGGTTTTGGTTTTTGTTTGCTTTTGCTTCTGTTTTACTTTGAAACAGGGTCTCATTAAGTTGCTAAGTTGCCCAGGCTGACTTCACGCTTTCAGCCCTCCTGCCCCAGCCTCCCTTCAGGGTAGCTGGGGTTATGGGTGAGCACCAGGTACTCAGCTAGCAGACAGTGCTGGTGTGGGTGGGTTGTTCTTTGAGGCAGTTTTGTATGGGCAATGCTGTCTTCCTGCAGGTTTCAGCAGTCCCCTGTGCTCTGTGTTCAGAGTTGAAGGATTGTGGCTGACACCCGTTTGCAGCTCAGGGAGACTCTGGTGCTGGGACCATGGGCAGTCAGCCCTTCTGTCACGGGAAGGTCACATACAGGTGGGAGGACTGGCCCTGCCTGTGACCTTGGGGGGGCGCGTCTCTTTCCCCTCCCTCCCCGGGGTCCCATGTGGTGTCAGAGTGGCCCCGTGCCACCACTTCCTGTCTTCTCAGGGTTCCTGGGGGCTGGGGAGAAGCTTGGGGTACTGGGGGCACCCGGGTTTGCAGAGGAGCCGGGCCCTATGCTAACCCCATGAGGCTGAGGGATCAGCCACACTTTCCTATTAGATCTCAGGTGGCGGTGGCTCTTGTGAGGCACTCGGTGAGACCCAGCTGGGACCAGGTCACTGGGGAGATGTCCTGATCAGCCTGGTGTGGAAGGGCTCAGATTTGCCAATCCCTGGTGCCTAGGGCAAGGAGCGCACTCCCTACGCCAGCTCCTGTTGGATGTGGGACTCGTGCACACCCACAGGGTCACAGGCCTGCCTGGGAGGTGCCGTGGGCTTCGTTCTGCTAGTGTGTTGTCCCGCAACCCCCCCACATGTTCCCCAGACCTGCACCCCGGCCCAGGGTCACCCACACACCTTCAGCGTGTGTTGCTCTCCCAGACCCAGAGCCACCGGCCCCTCGGGGCTGCACAGTGCCTCAGTGGCTCATAGGGACTGGGGTGGGTGCAGCTGTGTGTGAGGACTCTTGGCCAGGCCAGCAAGGCCTGCTGACTCCACTTTTGAGCCTCAGTTTCCTGTTTGTGGAAGGCGGTGGTAAGAACATGGGCTGCAGGGATGGAGGACTGGTTCCTGCTGGCAGTGAGCCCTGTCCCCTGCTCAGACCCACACCCTTTGCTCCCTTCACTCCAGCCAGGGGCCGCCTTTCTTCTGCTGGGTGTAGGTCACAGCCCTGTCCTGCTGTGGACTCTGCAAGGGTTCACAGAAGGGACTTCCCGTGGGCCCTATCTCTGTGGCGTCTCGGGGACAGGAGGGCCAATGCGCCTCATCTTTATTACTGTTTCTGCTTCCGCTCTTCAGGCAAGATGCTCCCTCTGTCGGGAGGCCTCGCCTGCCACGTCTGAGAGCCACAGATGCTGCTCCTCGGAACACTGAGGCCACACAGCTGCCCAGGGTGTAACTCACATTCACTCCCCATCCCAGCCCTGGCCCTCACCTGCTGGAGTCCTGTGGGGTTGCTGCCCCTGCATCTTCTTCTTTGATAATTGTCGCAGAAGTTTCACGAAGAAAGCAGGTGAATGCCCTCCCAGCCGGGGTTGAGAGGTCCACAGGCCTCTAAGGGGATGTCAGAGACCCAGGCCCGTGTCAGACAGCGAAGGCCACACTGCCTGGGCTTGGAGACCTAGGGATGCCTGTCCCTGCGTTCCCTGAAGGGAAACCCCGCACATGCTCCACCAGGCACGTGAATTGGGTTCACTTGTCCTGTGCAGCTGATTGTGTTTGGGGGTAAGGTCAGTGAGGTGCGTTTAGCGAGGTCCTTGTCGGGGTCCGTGGGACTTCCCCAGACCCTAGAGCTGCAGTGTCCCTCGAAGGCCAGGTGTGAAGGGCTGGGCCCCAGATGGTGCTGCTGGGGGTGGTGGGGCTCTTCTGACATTGGGGCAGCCCCGAGGTACCATGTGCCCAGCTCCTGCTGCTCTCCACTTCGTTCCCTGTGGTCCACACAGGCTGGCCCAGCAGGGCCCCAGCTGTTCTCTCTGGGTCCTTAGCTCAGGTGTTTGAGACAGTAACAGAAAGCCTGCAACATGTTGCTCCGTGTTATACAAAGTATCATCTAGCTCGTCAGAGAAGATACAATGTGGCCACTGAGGACACTTTCCCCAGGTCCATGCCAAAGGATTTCTTTCCTCGGGGTAGTGTTCTGACTCAAAATCCAAACTCTCAGTAAAAGCTGTGGCAAAATAGACTCAGTGTTTAGACTTGCAATATCTTTGCAAATCTCTCTTGTCCTTCTTCTTCCTTCTTCTTTTTGCCACTCAAGCTGTGTGAATATTTTTGCTTTTGTAGTTCTGGGGGTCAAACCTAGAGCTTCAAGCCTGCCAAGCCAGGCTCCACCCTGAGCTACGCCCACCAACTTCATTGTCTCCTCTGAATTCTGCAGTCCAGTTTCTCACAGTGCATGAGTCAGTGGACACAGACTCAGAGGACACATTGTCATGTGACAGGCACTGCACATTCTCGGGTCATTTATGGCTGGACACTAGGCATCTCGGGGGCCGTACTTTCCTCTGACGTTTGACTCAGTGGCCCTGGACCATCAAGACCATTTCGTTTGTGACTGCTGTGGCGGCTGCAGTTGGCCTCGAGGCGTTCCCTTTCTGGCCCCAAGACCAGTTAGTTTTCTGCCTGCAAGCGTGTGAGGTCCCCTGAGGTATGGCACCGCTCAGGATGGGATGGAGGGTTCTGGGCTGGCCTGGAGGAAACTAGGAGAAAGGAGACCACAGTGGGTGCTGGCACTGGCATCGGGCTGCTGCAGGGACAGGCCCACCCCTCCCGGGAGCCACTTTAGGGTCATGCAGGGTGAGGACGAGGCTGCTGTGGCTCCCAGGCTCTGGCCCCGGAGAACCTGGCTGGCAGCCTGGGTCCACAGGCACTCCCAGCAGGCGTGTTCAAGTGTTCCCGTCTGTTAGCTGTGAAATCTGCATTCTTCAAAGTGGCCAGAAGCCCTCCCTCACCTTTTCCAGGTTAATCATTAACTTCTCATTATGAACGCAGAAGCACCTTTACGCACAGTACCCTGACTCTGTCCAGGGCAAACACCTTGCTCGGGGCAGTGCCCTCTGCCCTCACCCATTCCCCAGTGGTCTCAGGGGTTCATGGCCTTGCAGGGCAGGTCCCCATCCCCTGGGCCTTCCCGAGCCGCCCCAGGACACAGGAAGCCGGGCAGACGTGCGGGCTGCCTCTTCCTCCATCCCAGAGCCCAGTGCCTGCCCAGCAGACGGACACTCCACACCCCTGGGAGAAAGGCCCCAACCTAACACCCTCTGCCACCTGCACGGGGGCACTTGGGACCTGGCTCGGGCAGGGGTAAGGGATGGTGCCCGCAGGAGCCAAGGCAGGACCTCTCCAAGGACCAAACAGCTGGGGCATCACCCTGAGGGTAGGAACTTCAGGACCCTTGGGGGCATCGTGTGAGCGTGGTGCGGGCGAGAAGGGGGGTGAGAAAGGGCCTGTGGGCCCCTTCATCCTCATTGGCCGCCCATTTCTCCTCATTCCCGCAAACACACAGCGGCACACCCAAGTGGCATTTGTACCTCTTTCTTGCTTTTCTTCCCGGAAGCCATGAGAATTGCATAACACTCAGCCTTGTGAGATCCGGACCAGCGAGAGAGAGGGCATCACGTAGGGCACTGCCTTCTCCCGACTCTTTATGTGGCACTGCGGGGGGGATGTGCGGTGTGGGCTGCACGGAGACCCCAATAGTTCCTGCTCAGGGCTGGCAGGGTGGGGCTTTGTTGCACACCCCACCCCACCCCACCTCAGCCACAGAGGTCAGGGCTGCTGAGGGAGTAGGCTGACCTCAGAGCTGGCAGCCACGGGGGACCTGAGTGACCTTTCAGGGTGAGCCTGGACACGGCCGAGGGACCAGCATGGCCACTTGCTGCTGGCCCAGCCCAGTAAGACAGTGGCTCCTCAGGGTACTGCAAGAACCAGGGTCGAGTGCGGAGACCAGGGACACAGTTGGCCTGGAGGGCTTCCACAGGTGTGGCCCTGACCTCGGCCCGGGACAAAGCCCTCGAGACCCCTCAGTTCCAGTCACGGAGACCCCACCCCCTCCACTGGGGCAAAGGCACCTCCGTCTCCAGCGCTGCTGTCTGCTGCAGGCTCCTGGCCGCGTTCTCTCAATCCTGCACTTGCAGGTAGAGGCTGAGGGGACAAGGCACCGCAGGGCAGTGTGCTTGCCCACCTCTGGGGTCAGCTGCCCTCAGGGACCCTCCCGGCCAGTCCCAGCCACATCTTTCCAGGGCTCCAGCCCCTGCACCAGACTCAGTGGCCCTGGGTGGCCCTGCCCTGCGCCTGGCACAGGCCTGTGTCGTGATGTTCTGTGATCAGTGCATGAGTGCTGCAGGTGAGGGGGTCTGGCGGTGGTGAGTGAGGGCAGCAGGCACAGAGCCTGGGCACCCAAGGTTTGGGTCGCACGGAGACCCCTGTCCCGGCATGGAGAGAAACAAGACATGCATTCGAGAGTGGTGGGGCAGTGGCGGCACCCACGTGTCCCAGAAAGGGAAGGCGGTCACAGGGCCACAAGGGTGTGCAGGGCCGGCTCCCTCCCTGTGAGGCCCCGGCCCTGGCCCCCTTCCCTGTGCAGTGCAGATTCCGGCCTCAGCAGATGCAGGGTCATCCCAGGAAGTGGCCGCCTCTACTGAGGAGGTGGCATGGCCAGATGGGACTGGCCCTGGAGGGCCACCCTGCGTCCTACCTCCCTTGGCTGGGCGGTGGGCGCCTTTTCCTGAGCAGCCATGTGGCCCTCCCCAGCCCCTTGCTGGGCTCTGAGCCCTGCTCTGTCCAGTGAATGGGGAGGGCTGCTTCATGGGGCCATTTGTTCCAAGCCCCCGGCTGGCTCCTGGTCTGGCACTTGGGCCCTTCCTTCCTCCCCTGTCAGATCTGCATCCCTTCGCCCTGTCCCCTGTCCTGCCCACCCTGTCTACAATGAGGGCTGCTGGGCCCTGGGGACTCCGGGTGGGCCTTGGGCTCTGCTGATCTTTAGCTTATGAGTCTGGGGTCTTGGAACGGTGGCCTGGGGTAGACTGGGGCGTGAGAGGCTGAGCAGGTTTGCAGGTGTTTAACTACAGACTCCAACTTCAGGCATGTCATTTGACAGTGGACGGAGTTCATATTTTATTTTAGTTTCAGCTTTTCAGTCTTATTTTATATTTGGTGCAAAAGTGTCTTCCTCGTAAAACCTTTTTTAGCATCACTGGCATCGTGGTGGCTGAACCCCAGCCTCCAGAGCAGCCCTGCAGGGAGTCGGCACCTTGCTGCGTCGAGGACAGCAGGGCCTTGGTGACTGGCGGGCGGCCTGGCCAGGCTTCGGCGTCAGCACAGGGTGACTTCAGATGGACGCCGGGCCCAGGCGGCTCCTGGCCTAGCACAGCTGTGAAGAGTGGATTTATCTCAATTATTCCACTGAGCTTTGTTAGAGTGCAGAGAGAGGAGTTGGCCAGGCCTCAGCTTCTGATGTTTGCATTGAAAACCCAAACGCTGTCCCTGGCAGGCAACCAGCAGCTGGCGGGGGAGGATGTGACCATTCGGAAAAGCCCTCACTCAGCGCGGCTGAGCCTGTGAAAGGCCACCCCACCTTCCTGCTGGGCCGGCCAGGCTGGGACGCGAGCACAGCCCCACACACAGACCCTTCTGTCCCTGGCTGGATGCCGGCCAGGCGCCCTGGCCAAGGCGATGAGGCCCCTCGGCGGGTGCGCCAGCTCAGCCTGAAATCCCAGCGCCTCAGAAGCACGCTGCGACAGGCTGGCCGTCTCTGGACAGCAGGGCCCCTGCCTGCGGCCTGCGGGTGGCAGCGAACTCACAGCAGTGCCCGGGGTGGGGGAAGCCCTCTGCACCGCCTCTAGCTCTGTGGAAGAGGCCCCTGCCCCTGGGGGAGAGAAGCCCCTTAAGCACAGCGCCCACCCATCCTCTCACTTCCTGAAGGCCAGGAGGCTGCTTCTGGTTCCAGGCCAGGCCAGGGAGCTGGCCCAAGAGCACTCCTGCCACCCAGCCTGGAGTCTGCGTTGTGCAGGGCCATGGACGTCTGCACAGGCCTGGCCCTCCCTCCTATGGTTCTGGCCCAGCCATCCAGCCAGCTCCCTGGGTCCTTTGAGGGCCAGGAGTCCCCATGGGACTCCGGGCTGCCTCTTCCCTCCATTGGTGAGGGCGACCTGGCCTCAAGTGAGGCCTGGGGACAGGAGAGGTGACAGCACTGATGGCACCAGGACTGAGCCACAGGGCAGGCTTCAGGTTGACCCAGGGTAGGTGACCCTGGTTCTTGTGGGGAGTGTGACAGGCTTCTGGTGCTTCCGGGGACCATGGGAACCACCTGTCCCCAGGCGGGGAGCAGAGTGAGGGCCCTTCCCTGGGGACAGAGCCATGAGTGCGGGTCTGGCTGGGCTCTGGGCTCTGAGATGCTCCAGGCTGAGCCGTGGGGCGGCACTGGCTGTGGGTCTGGGCCTGGGCATCAGCCCAGGGAGTGTCCTCTTCCGATGTCAGCCACCTTCTTGCAGCACTGGAGACTGAACCCAGGGCCTCTGCGCTGAGCTGCATCCCCATCCCTTTTAAATTTTTTTATTTTGAGACAGACTGTCACTTAATCACTAAGGTGCTCAAATTTGCAATCCTCCTGCAATCCTCCTGCCTCAGCCTCCCAGAGTGCTGGGATGACAGACGTGAGCCATGGGGCCCAACTCAGTGTCTTCCCAGAGGAAGAGCACAGCATGGGGCCGCTGCTTGGTGTCACTTCTGGAAACCAGCCGAGGGGGACAGGACGGCCGGCAGCTCCCTCCGTCTCCTGGACGACCGCCTCAGTGTAGACCCACTGCAGAGCTCGGCTGGAGTTGGTGCAGCCCCTGCTCCTCTGTCCAGCCAGGCTCCTGCACCTGCATCTGGGCTGCATCCCGGGAGTGCGGGCCAGGAGGTTCCGGCAGAGATGGCTGCCGGGCCCGACTCGGACCCTACTCTGCTCTGTCTCAAGCCGAGCAAGGACAGGTGCCGAAGGCCGGGCCAGTGTGGGCGCATGGGCCATGGTGCTGAGGGAGGTGGCTGTCCAAGGACAGCAGGGGCAGGTGGACACCCGGCCGGGCCTCGTTCTGCACAGGCCAGCGCAGCTCAGCTCCGCGTGTGTCCAGTGCTCCGGTGCGGACCTGTTGAAGAGGGCGCCGGGCCATGTGAGGCAGGGGCATTGAGCCAGGGGGCCAGCCACGCCTGAGGTGGCCCCAGGGCAGGTGCACCAGGGCCACCCGGTCCAGGTCCCTGTGTCCTTGTGAGGGCCCGGGGCTCTGCAGAGTGTGGGGCTCAGTCCCCCAGCCGCAGTGACCCAGTCACAGCCAGAGCTCCAGAGGTGATGGGAAGACTGAGCCAGCCAGGTGAGCTGAGCCAGTGAGGATGCGCTGAGGCTGACGGGCTGTGGGTGGACTTGGAGGTGCAGCCACGGAGACGTCTCCGTTCACAAGGACTTCCCATTTTGAGGTGGACTAAGCGCACGCTGACTTTTGGACTGCGTGAGGCTGATTCTCTGGGCTCAGTGGCACTCGCCTATGGTCCCAGCTACATGGGGGCTGAGGCAGGAGGGTTGCATTTTCAGGGCCAGCCTGGGCAACGTAACATGACCCTATCTTGGGGGAAAATAGAAGAGGACTGGGATGAGCTCAGGGTGGAGCACCCCTGGGGTCCACCCCCAGTGGCTGGCCCGAACCAACAGAAAAGCAAATGAACAGGGCGGTTCAGTCTCGCAGAATGAGCCCAGGAAGTTTTGCTTCTGGGAGTGCAGCAGGCAGGACCCGAGCTCTCCGGCCCAGTATTTGGCCATGCGGGGGGCCGAGCCTTCAGACTTGAAGGGAAGGGGGTTACGCCTCACACGTGGCAACCCGGAAGAGCGGTCCTTTGAATTAATTGGCTGGATCCGAAAGCTGACATCTATCTTGGTTGCCTGGTGAAAGCAGTGCCAAAGGGTTGCTGAGGGGAAGGAAGAGCAGGAAGGGAGAGGGCAGGGGGACAGAGAGTCAGTCCTTGGGTATTGATGAGCTGTCTTGGCCGGCAGCTTTGTTTCCAGAGTTTAAATTGAGCAGGCGTTTCTCGAAATTCCGATGTGTCTGAGAGGGGCCGCCCAGGGTCAACCGGAGGCTGAAATGGAGGCGCTTCTGTTTATATCTTTTATACAAAAGACAAGCCCGAAGTTTCTCACAGTGTGCTGAGTTCCTCAAAAACCCACCACTGAGGCCCTTCCTCTCCTCCCGCCTGGTGCTCTGACCCAGCCTGTCTGTAGGTGGAACTCAGCGAGGGCTGGCAGAGCACAGACTGCATCCAGACACCGCGGCCCCAGCCAGACTCCGTGCTGTCAGACAAACATGCAAGTGAATCACCACCTGCCCGGTTTCCGCTGCAGACGCGGAGGGCGAGAACCCAGGACACCTGCATGTGAGTCCCGTCCTGTCTGATGAGCGCATGGACACTAATGGTCCTGGGGCTGGCAGCGGCTGGGTGGAAGGGCGACCACGCTCAGTCCTCTCGAGGAAGAAGGGCGACTGTCTGATGCCACTGCTTAGAGCAGCAAAGGGACAGAACCCCGGACGGTTTGCTCGGGCATGTGAGTGCAGCCACCACTGCCTGGTGACACCCATGAGGACGCTGGGAGAGAGAGCGTGAGGGCCAGTGTGGGCCCAAGACCTGCACAGGAGCGTGGCCATGCAGGGCCTGCATGGTGCTTTCCATGGGAGAAACAAAGGAGGGCTTTTTTCTCCCCAGAATAGAGCTTTGGACCGCGGCTTGGACCAAGGACCTGGCTCGCACCCTTGGCAAGCCTGTGCCCAGCTGCCCTGAGGACTGGTGGCTTTTGGTGCCAGGTGCTGCTTAGCCACCAAGGCTCACGAATACAGCCAGGTCTGGGTACCGCTCTGGTTCCACAGGACAAGGCCCTTGGTGGGCAGAGCAGGGCTATGCAGGCCTGCAGAGCACACAGCCCCAGTGAGGGTGCTGGTCAGCAGGGCCGGGCCCTGAGGACACTGCGGCCAGGCCAGGTCCTGGAGAGGATCTTCATCTGGATCCAGCCATTCATCGGCCTTCACCCCGTGTGGAAGAGGCAGCTCGCACCCTGAGCACCTGGGCTGCCCAGTGAGGAGGCGGGAGGTGACCTGAGCAGTCCCTTCCTGGGTCACACTTCAGCACGCTCTTGGCTGCCTGGCAGGAAGTGCCCTCCCTCCCCCCACTGGCCAAACATGTCTCGTCACTCTGGTAGCTTATCCTATGTGGCTCTGATGGATTCCCAGGGACCACAGAACTGTTGAATGGCCATGTGGCCAGGGCCACTGTTTCCTTTAACAACCACGGCGGTCTTCCAGTTGCATAACTGTCCCCAGGCTTTGGAACTCAAATTTTCACTGGTTCATGATCTGGGGACGTTAGGGGGGAAGTGAGCTTGGTTGGTTTTGGGATCTTCGGGGATTAGTCGAGCATACTCCAAGTGCGTCTGGGTGGCCAGGGAGGCCTGACCTTTGGTCCCTGCCCCTTCCTCTCTGGTGCTGCCCCTTCTCTGTGTCTCGGACACCATGAACCGAGGAGCTTTGCTTCATGCCCTTCTACCACAGCTCTGTCCAAGCCAGCCTTGGACTTGATCCCCAGAAGTCCTGAGCCAAGCTAAGCCCCTCTTTTCAGTGTGGGCACCGGCATTGTGTCCCTGCGGCAGGAGCGCTGACTACTGCACTGGCAGCTGGGAAAGGGTCATGCCCTGCCTCCAAGGTCCTGTCCTGAGGAGCCAGGTTTGGGGTCTGTCAACTCTGTCACCTGCTTGTCTGTGTGGTGAGTCCTCAGAGCCCCATGAGTCTGTGCATATCCTGGGTGGCTCCTGAGCAGGACCCATGTTTGCAGAATGTCATAAGGACATGCATGGCACTGTGTGCAGCGTGAGAACTGCATGTGAGAACATGTGTTTGGGTGTCCACCGTCACTGGCCCTCTGTTGGGGGCTGGAGTGGGCAGTGACATCACACAGCACAAACCTCACCACTCTGTTCAGGTGGGGACCTGACTTGGGGTGCCCTGGTGCAGGGCCCCCATCAGTGGCTCCCACCTGGACATCCTGGGAGACCTGAGCACTGTCCCGGGAGGGCTATGTGAACCCCATTCCCTGAGACACAGTGTCCACCTCCTGTACAGGATGACCTGGGCCAGCAGGACAGTCCCTGAGCCCCCTCCCAGCAGCCACCTGGATCCTGGGCTTTGCCCATGCACAGTGGAGTCCTGATGCCAAGGGGCTACTGAGCCTTCCTTCCCATTTTGCTTTGTCCCCAACCGTGAATCATCATGGGCTCCACACGAAGGTCAGGAAGTCTCACCTGGAGCTGTGCCAAGGGTTCCAGGACTGAGCTTATGAGGTCTGGGCTTATGGCTGTCCGGCCCAGGGCCATCAGATTTCAAGATGCAGTCCAGGCCGTAGGGTCCTGGGGTTTCCTGGCTGTCGGGGCCCTGGGTGGGCTCCTGGGATGGCCTGGGGGCAGGAGCCCTGCCCCTCGGCTCTCCTGTGACCCCACCTGGTGTCCCCCATGGGGGCCAGCACTGCACATGCTGGGCAGAGCCACTGTCCTGCTGCTCATGGCCAGGACAGACTGCACACCCTCATGGCCCTGGAGCCTGCACACCGTCCTGTGGGTGCTGCTGATGACTGCTGTGGTGTGTCGGATCCTGACCAGGACCAGCAGCGGCCTCTCTGGGGATCGGAGGTTATAGTGGATGGCAGGCTGCCCACACCTTGATGCTCTGCAAGAGACAGGCAGAAGTTAGACAGCAGCACTGGGGGGGGGGCTGTGGGGACAGAGACAGAGGCTGGTGCAGTGTGGCCACCAGCTCAGGAGCTGGAGAGGCTGGAACAGGCAGGAAGGTGTCCTGGCATGTGGGGGAAGCCCCACCACGCTCTTGATTTGGAACTCAGGGCCTGTGGCCTTGGCCTCCCTGTTTGCAGCCTGCAGCCCTGCCTGCAAACTGTGCCCAGCTGGGAGCCCTGTGGATGAGGTCAGCGCATGCTATGCAGCCTCTGTGGGACAAGCTCAGGCAGAAATGCAAAAGTTAGAAGGCTTTGCTGGCATGAGTGTGTCCCAGCTTTTAGAGATAGCTACCAAGGTGTATATAAATCAGGACCAAGAAACTAAACAAGAGGCTGATAGGAGGTTCAAAAGGAAATGCATCGGTTAGGAGTGATGCTGATGGAGAAACAGACAGAAGTCACCATGGGGTGAAGGCACAAACACGAACAGAACAGGGCCAAACCTGGCTGAGACCTGCCAATGGATCAAGGCTAGATTGGGAGCAATGCACAAGACGTAGAAAGCATAGACATTAAAAAGTTAATGCCCAGAAAATGATGACAGAGATGGTGACAAAAATTCCAAAGCTTAAGAGGTGCCTCATGTAAAAATTTGCTCATAGACCTTACTGAACTGCCTCAAGCTGGTGGCAATCAATATATGTTGATGCTTGTCTATACCTTTTCAGGATAATTGAGGCCTCCACCCAAACAAAGAAGACATGAAAGGTGACCAAGATGCTGTTGGGAGACATCATCCCAAGATTTTGGGTACTCCTGTCCTTAGGGTCACACAATGGACCAACATTCATAGCCAAGAAAGTCCAGGAGTTCACACTGATGTTAAAGAAATGAGATCAAGTCCTGCCCATGGTCCTCCTCTGAGTCCAGTACACCCCCACCAAACAAACTGGGCATTCCCCTTATGAGATTCTATATGACCAGCCACCCCCCAATCATAGGTCAAATTAAAGGTAATCTTTGTAAACTAAAAAATTTGTCCCTGAGAAAATAAATGTAGGTTTTGGGAATAGCCCTACAAGATATCTATTGCTTCGTACAAGAGAAAATGCTCATAAACTTAACAGACCCAGTATACCCATTCAAACCTAGGGACTTTGTTTGGGTCAAAAAAAAAAGGGCTGGGGATTTAGCTCGGTGGTTCCACTGCCTGCCTCACAAGTGCAAGGTCCTGAGTTTGATTCCTGGTATGAAAAAAACACAAAAAACAAAAAAACAACTCTAGGGCCCATATAGGATGGGCCTTATACTGTGATTCTGTCCACCTCCACTGCTGTTAAAGTTACAAGAACTGTGTCTTAGATCTACCACAGTCCGCTAAAGCCAACAGCCCAAGACAAGTAGACCAGCCGGCAGGATCCTGTGACAAGATCAGGCTGCCACTACAGACAACACCTGCTCTAGTCACCCTGGAAGCTACTCAAACAGAAGACTGAAGATCAACATAAGTCCCATATCCTTTTTGTTATAACTTTCCCTTGCCTCTTACCCCTACTTGTCAGAAACATTCAGACAGCTGTGGAGACTCTGGTAGGCAGGCACACCACCGACTGATGGTCTTACCCAAGCACCAACCTCTGCTCAGTGGGCTGTGCTGAGCAACCCCTTGTGACAAAAATTGATAATAATAATCATGATAAAGATGGTGCTCTCTGGTAAAACTTGTTATAGAAAGCATCAAAGAGGGGAACAAAGCAGAACTTAAAAGAAAATCAGTTCTCCTAGCTGAAAGCAGTCTAACAGCTCCCTGTTCAGATTCTGCCTTACCCTTTCCCATAACTACTGACCTCCCCCTGGTCCTGATAAGGTAAACAGTCCTATCACTGTACAGGAACCCCCAAAGAACTATGTGCTCTGTGAACAACTATATTCTATAAACAAACTCTGTTCCCATGTGATTCATAAGACACTCTCTTCTTACAAGGCTAAATTACTGAACTGTCTATCCCCGTTCTGTTCTGTTTAAACTCACTTACTTTGTCACTAATAGACCACTCCCCTTTGACTAAATGTATAAAAACTGAAACTTCTCTTTGTTCAGTTCCTCAGCTTTGGGACACGAGTCCATCAGGCTGGTGTTCACCCTACTAGACCCTTTTGATTCCCACTGGGTCTCTCTTGTCCCTGAGAATTCTGCATAGTGATGAGGAGCAGGTGCAGCACTCAGCATGGTGTCCGAGCCCATCTGTGCGCTGCTGTGGTGAGGAGGAGCCATCTGCTCAGCCCTGCTGTTCATGGCCACTGTGCCGTTTCCAGGGTCATGGCTGGGCAGTGAGCCCTGCTGCCCATCGCTGTGGGAACCCGATCTCCTCCTCTGTGGGAAGCCCTATGTGGTGGTCTGGGCCTCAGGTGTTGTCTTGTTCCTGCAGTGGTGCTGTGAGCCAGGTGTGTGGCAGCTCTAGGGTGGGGCCAGGGTGAGTGCTTCATGGAGCCCTCATGGCTCACACTGGCTGGCAGACCCCAGGAGGACACTGTTGGGTCAGCATCCTGGGGTGTGGGGGTCGGAGTGCAGAAGTCAGCTGATGACCTGGGAACCAGGAGGGAGGGGGTGCTCTGGTTCCAGGTGCCCCGGGGTGTGGGTGACACGGAAGCCACCTGTGTCTGGGCCGCCTCAGGTGCTGGGCAAAGGCAGCTGTGGGCAGGATGGGATTCCATCCTGAGGGTCTCTCAGGGCAGTGAGAAACCCACAACCTTGCTGCCTCCTCCTGGGCACTGCTTGTGGGGCCCTGGGGGTCTTGGTGCTGGGGGGCTGAGCCGGAGCAACTCTCAGTGTCACACTCAGCTCTGATGGCCTGTCGGGGACAGAGTTGTCCAAGAGGAGGGACAGAAAGAAGTCACTACCTGGGTCACTGAGCTGCTCAGGCTGGGCTCCAACTTGCCATCATCCTGCTCAGCCTCCCAGAGTGCTGGGATCACAGGCGTGCCCTGCCACACTCTGCTGGGGAAGGCCTTTTCTTAAGCATAGGGCTAGTTTTTTGGTTCCTTGTACTCACTTAATCATTACCATCTGTGCAAACAAAAAAGTTGTACATATAATTGTTTATGGTGTGTTTAGAAGGGCGGTGGAGTTTAGTAAACACTAAGGACAGCCGCGAATATTTCACTGTGGCCTTCGACCCTAGTGGTGCAGCCGGCACTTGGCACTGTTTGTCACAGTGAATTAGATGACTTCAGTGAATTCTGCAACGAGTGTCTTGCGGTGTAAGCCTTGGGCCTCCATCCCCGGCAGTTTTCAGACCCCACAGGCGCTGCTCCTGGACCCTGCAGAGCTGTGGGTGAGGCCCAGGTGCTGGCTTGGGACAGCACACGTTTGGAAGGTTCTGGAAGTTTCTGGACAGCCTCCTAGGCGCGACCTCCCAGGGCTTCTTCCGCTGCCCTGACACTGCACGATGATCGCCTGGACCAGGAGACCCACAGCGACTGCAGGGGTCAGGTGTGTGACTCAGTGACCCGACGAATATTCTGGAAGTGGGTCACACCTGCCCAGCCCCACTCAGGAGTCAGGGAGCCCCGGGGCAGAGGAGGCCAGGCAGGTGGGCTCTGTGCAGCTGGTTTCCACACAGGCACCATGCAGGCAGAGCAGGCATGAGGATGTGCTGTGCAGAGGGACAGCAGGACACGCGCAGCCGGCCAGGCGGCACAGGGCAGAGGGGCCAGGACGGGTGATGCTGGAGAGCCAGTGGCTGGGGTGGGCTGCTCCATGCCCAGGTTGGCTGCGTGAGCATGGCCTCCTTTCTTTCCCATGCACCCTCCCCACCCGCTCATGGCCACACAGAGAAGGCAAGCCAGACTCAGTTTCCCCAGCTACAGCCCTGCAACACAGCACCTGACGCCAGGTGTGAGGCTCCAGCCACACCGAGCAGCACACAGTTCCACAGGGCATCTCTGGTAATCCAGTCAAACACAGTCCACCTGCAGGGGGGTCCCGAGATGTGCCCTCAGATGCTCGTAGCTTCACCTGTGCCTTTTAACCTTTGGTTATAAATCAGGGCTCCCAGCACCCATCCTGGTGCAGCTGGGTTGCTTGAGCAGCTCCAGAACCCAGGGAAGCACCATCCACAGTGGGAGTTTGCAGGACACACGTGCAGGGGACAGCGCCAAGCACTAGGCTCTGTCCAGCACCACTTCCAGTGACCTCAGGGATCCAGACCCAAGCCTGTCCTTGGAGTTACACAGATACTCACTGCCTTACAGAAGTGACTGGGTGAGGGTCTGACCCAGAGGCATGGACAGATGGAGACTGGCCAGCCCCCTGGGCAGCATCCCCTGACCCAGGTGTGGGGCTGGATCCTGGCTTGGATGCGGCCTAGGATTCATCTGACCAGAGACCAAGGAGTTTCCAGAGTCGAGATGGAGAGATAGGAGGCAGAAGTGTTTTCACTGTTATGTCCAGCTCCAAGCAGGGAAATTCTAGTTGCTGTCCTGCCCCGGGAAGGGCTGGTCAGAGAGAAGGGCTTGCTTTCTAGCCCCGCCTTTCCTAATGTGTCTGATATCCTAACAAAAGGCTTTTGCCTTCGTCCTTCCGCAGCTGTTCGAGGCCGTGTGAGGACCGATAGCCTGCACCTTCTGCCATCTAGGAAACCATGAGGGCCGCTGGGCTATGAGCCAGAAACCCTAAATGGACCCAAAGGGAGTGATATGGTTTCTCACCTCCCAGGGCGCACGGGCTTGGACCAGCCTGCTGCAGGCCGGGCGAAATGTGGAGGCTGAGTCAGGAGAAGCCGGTCGGCTGCCTCGAGCTGTCAACTTGCTGTTCTCTGGCCTCTGGCCTCCAGCTGGAAGGTCGACCTTCTGGGCTGCAGCCTGCACGGCCCCATGGCCTCGCGTGGAGGTGGCAGGGGAAGCTCCCAGCCCCGCCTGGGCCATTCAGTGTCATCGGCCCGCAGGACCCGGGTTGGCCCTGCTCTGGTAAGGCTTGGGTGTTAGGTCCCTGGTCTTCTCTGAAAGCAGCATTGTACTTTGTGTGTGTGTGTGTGCCTGTGTGTGCACACGTGTGCCTGTGTGCGTGTGCATGTGTGTGTGTGACAGTCTTGTTGTGTAGCCCAGGCTGCACTTGAACTCATGGCGATCCTCCTGCTTCAGCCTCCTGAGTGCTGGGATTACAGGTGTGCACCACTGCCCCTGGCTTAGCCTCACTATTTTACCTAATGGCTGTTGGGAGGGCTGTTCCTATTAAGGTCACCCCACAGGCATTGTGATTAGGACTCTAGCATAGGAACTTGGCCGCAGGGCCTGTGTGGAGGAGGGTTCCCGGTTTGTACCGAGATGAGATGGATGTGGGTTCTCAGCCCGAGGCCCTCCCCAGGGGCCTGGCAACTCTGCCTGCCCTGGGGCCACCCAGCACTCCAAGCTGCACCTCCCATGTTCTTCCCACAGGCTGGGCCCAGGCACAGACAGCACACAGCCCCGAGGAGCGGCCAGGGCAGACGTCCCAGGGCAGGGGTTGGAAAAGGGGGGCAGACGGCCTAGATCGGACGTTTCTTGGTCTGGGCCACTCACCGGTGAGCTCACAGCACATTCTGGTGCCATGGTGACAGGTGACTCGTGGTCCACGTCCAAGGGAGCCCCTCAGCTCACGGTGGGGAGCTGCCCGGGCCTGGGGGGCCCATCCCGCGCTCACGGCAGGAGGAGAGGCGGATTCGACCTCTGTGCAGGCACAGACAGCAGGACAGGGCTTGCTGGAGCTCAGGGGCACACTCAGCAGGAGCTAGGGGAGCCGGGTCCCCCAGGGACACTCAGCCTCCTGAAACCCCCTAAGGGGAGCCCAACCCAGTGCCCCCAAAGACCCCGCAGAGGGGCCCCCAGAGCTCAGCCCCCTGAGTCAGTGTCGCGGTCTTGTTGACGTCACACATGGAGACAGAGGAAGAAAGCCCATGAGTGTTCTCGGGGGAAGCCACCCTGCCGCCAGAGGGAGACTGTTAAACAGGCCGCGCTGTCCCTGCTACGGGGTGCCTGTCTGTCTCTGCCGCTGTGCCGCCTGCTGTCACAGGGCGTTATGATGGGTCCTGGGGTGCAGCTTGGGCTGCGAAGCAGGGGTGTAACAGGCCTCACTGGCCCTCACTCTCTGTCTTATTTCTTTTTGATGTGGGGCTTAACGCATCCAGGCTTGAACTTGAAATCCCTGAGAAGAAAGGCAGGCATGTGGTGCCAGAGGATCAGAAGCTCCAGTTGAGCCTGAGCAACTCAGCGATTTAGACCTTGTCTCAAAATAAAAAGTACAGAAAGGGCTGGAGAGGTAGCTCAGTGTGAAGGCCCTGGGTTCAATTCCGTGGTGGAAACAAATCTGGGAATTAATCTTGAAATCCCAGGAAAACGCTGCCCACAGCGCCACCATGTGGCAGGCAGGGTCAAGGCAGGAGGCCGCAACAGACAGCTCAGAGCCGAGGGTCCCCTGGGAACACAGGAGGGCTCCGGCAGCAGCCAGGAGCCTGTCCCGAGTGTGTCCCGCCCAGGGGACTGCGTTGTCTGGGCCCACATCTCACATCCTGGCTGTCAAGGGACTGGCCCTCCTGCCCAGGTCTCATGGTCCCCCGGCCCCTCTGGTCTGCGACTCCCTTTGGTGGGGCTGGGGTTACTCAGCCTGTGCTGGGGGGACGCGAAGGCACCGTGGGGGTGTGTGGAAGGAGGTGGGATTTTGGGTGTGTGCATGCAGGAGATTCCGAGGAACTTGCAGGAAACAGCCCAGGAGTCGGCCATGGCCACAGGCCAACCCTGGCCAGCGAGGGCAGAGATGGGGCCAGCTGTGCGACAGGCAGGAGAGATGGGCTCAGGGTGCAGCCTGGCTCTCGTCCCCTTCACTTCCCTGAGTGGCAGAGGTTTGGGAGGGTGCCCAGAGGGAAGGGCGCCCGCCATATGGCTCACCCAGCTGGGCACCCTCAGGGGCCCTGGCCACCTCACTGTCCCTGAACTGCCCAGCAGCCCCTGCCCAGCTCCCGGGATCCTGGCCTGGCTGTTCTGGGGCCTCCAGAGGCCTGGGGAGCAGGGAAGAGGGGATGCGCTGGGGCTGCGTGCCTGGCTTCCCTGGTGGCAGGGCTTAGAAACAGTGCCAGACAGCAGGTTTAAGGCACAGCCTTGTGGCAGCG